GCATGAACTTAAAGTCCTACCTGTGAACTGCAAAAGGTGCACTCAGGGAAGAGCTAATATGAATATACATTACCAGAAGTAATTTTCATTATTTTCTCAGTTTTCCATGTCAGGTTTTCTCACTCACATATCCCATAACACAGCAAGTTCTCGCAAAGTACAGAAACATATCTGAGGGAATGACAGTCTACTGTCTCTCTCACACACAAACAAAATGAAAACCACAACCTTGAAGAGCCCAGCTACTCTAGCAAAACCAAAGTATGAATAGCTGAAGGGACTTCCATCAGTTTGGCATAAGTAAAATAAGCCACAGAAGCCCAAGATCAGCTTTTAGCTGACATTGCATTTCAAGTGATGCAAAAGCATAATTGTAGTAATAGAGTTTTTTTAGTATGGGTTAGCTTTTAACACATCATAAACATTTTCATTGCAGTGTTGGATATTTTGACTTCTGTACGAAGAGCTGATTCTGGATATCTACATCTACATCTACATAGGCTGGTCTGCCTAGGAGGGCCATTCAACACAGTCTTTAAGCAATGGTGATCAATGGAATGCCCAATTTGGATGTTTTGGGAAATATCAATGAGAATTTTCTGGGAAGCATGATGATACTCAGGCTATATATTCCAATAAGTGGTTATTTAGCCCCTGACTATATGGAGTTGAAGTTATTCCCTGTTATCAGTATGGTGGTTTAATATGACCGAGTCATACACTGGACCTAAACAGGTCAGACTTCTCAACAGCTATTTGAAGTGCATGACACATTCTGGACAGAAGCAGCTCTCAAGGCATGTAATGAGGGCACTTTTGTGGGAAATACCACTTAATTGTGGCTGATGCTGCTGAATTAGTCATACTTCCTTGCAGCCAGGAAACACTGTAGTGGAAGTTTAGCTCTTCTATCTTAAGACAGCATGTTTTACAACATGAATTTAGAGAAAAAATTGCAATAATGAAATAATTCACATTCTGCTCTTTAGTCATAAATGTGCAATAGCCATTCCAAACAACACAGAATGGGAATTCTTCTGGGAGCAAAATATGGCTCAAAACACAAAATGTTAAATTTTGGATTGTACAAAATCTGTGTTACTAATGGCCTAGAATAGCTATCAAGTGACTTAAAATAAATATCAAATAATGAGTTGAAATCTTGTAAGCACAGAGAAATCTTTTATGAGCACGTGTCTCTTGAAGAGGTCTCTTCACTTTCAGTGTTGGTGTGCTAATAAAAAATTGATTCTAGAATGTAAAATTAAAAATCACTGCAGAAGCATTTTAAGCACAAAGTCATAATAAATTTCACTCACAGCAACAGATTTTATCTGCTGATTATTTTTTTTACTAGGAACTTTACAAAACCATTCCACTGTTACTTGTGTCTTCCCTGCCTCAATTTCCTTCAAACGACAGAAGCACACAGTTCTTAGCTGTTTCGCCTATTTGGGGTCTTATCAATAGAATCAACTACATCAAGGGTTGAAGACTTGCTTACATTATGAGTAATTGACTGTTTCATTTGGTGTTTCTTAACTACTCCTAATTTCCCTTGGGCTTCATATGTCTGCTGCATGTTGCGTTCTATCAGCTGGGGACAGCCAGCGTTCCTAATTTTAGCAGTGACGTTAAAACAGCCCACACAGGGAAAGACGCAGTAGCTGTTGAGAAAGGATACAACGTGAGTGAATAAACATCTCCCACTGACTTCTTGTTCTTTCTGGAAAAGTTGCTTGTTATTTCCATTTTCTCAACGTTTACAAAAGAAAGGTACAGGTTTGCTAATTAAAGGCTTGCAAAGCTCAGGTTGGAATTTTCAATATGCAGCCCCACAGATTGCGTTCAGCCTGACAAAACAATTAATTCAACATGTTTCTCAGGAAGCCTCAGGTTCTTCCTGTCGCACTTGAATGTCTTAAACTACACCACACAATCTGTTTCTCGAGTTTTATGTTGGTATTTCTATCAACATTATTATCATTACTACCTGCAAGGCTGAGCTCTAATTATTAAAATGCTCAATGCTGAACAGGTCTAGTAGCCAGTATATACACATTCCACCTTAACAACCACTTACAGCCGCATCTACTACGTTAATTACTGCAAGGTCACAAACCCTTCCTCTGGATCAAAAGTGAACTGACTATAGAATTCAACTTGACTGATCTTCTAATTCCAAATTTCTTATTGGCAGAATTTCTTATTAACTGGACACCATAAGGACTAAGTTTACTTCTGTTTCTATTTGTGTTTGTTATGATTTTAATATAATTAATAGTAAAAAAATTAGGCAATTGCCATCACAGTCGTGTAATTTTCTTCCACAGGCAGATGGATGGTACAAATGATGAACACCATTGGAAAAGACTTAGCATCTCTAAAGTTATCATCAACATAGAAACTATGATAAATGGGTGCTTTAATATGGGATGCCAAAAGCCATTTTTGGCAGCTCCTCTATGAAACAGTATTGGAAGAGCAGGTGCAACACTTAAAAAAAAGTGTTTTACCGAGTAGCTGTGTCATGTGTGGTTCACGTTTCAGAGGTTTGTGTATTACATTGGTCTTGGGAGAAAAGGGAAAATAAAAAAAACAACCACAACCCCGCAGTTTGGAAATAATTGAAAGGACTAGGTATACTGTGGACCTTCCCTGAAGTATGCGTATGAATGTTGTAATCTCCATCTCATCCAAGATCACAGATTTGAAGACAGAAAAACATAGGAAAAAAAAAATTTGCCCAAAAGTTTTCAGCTAATCAGTGTAATTTAAAAAATCTATTACTTTATATCTTAAATAGATCTTAAATATCTTATATTTAAGATATTCAGAACAACTGAATTGTGCAACATTTTCAAATGTCAGTGCCTATTTCAAAATACTATTTCTGATTTACTGTATCTGGCACAGTAATTCACAAATTAATGCACTTTCAGAAATGGGAAACTTTTCTCTCCCACCATGATAGAAAATGGTTCCTATAAACCTTAGCATGAAGATCATCTCTTCTGAGAAAGTCTATCATGTTAAATTTTGAGTGAAATTGCAGTTTTCTCTTTGAAAAGCATTTTTGATGGTTATTGAACTGTATATGTTAACCTGAATTTATATACTGTTTTCCTAGTTTCAAGTTCTGCCCTTGTATTTATGTGAATCAAAAGTAACTGAAGAGATGGCTGCCTCAATTTTCCATAAACATACAGAGGAATATGGCAAAGAGAGTTATGCAAAGGAAAGGAATACAAGTGGTAGAGGGTTGGTTAAAAATCATAACAAGAATGTATGACAAACCTTTATATACAGTTTAAAACTTGAAAGTGAAGTGAAAGTTTACAGTCAACATTATCCTACAAAAGCTGTAATCCTGCAACAGTAGAAAGTAGAGTGAATAGCATCAATTAATCAAATCCACAGACCTAATTAATTTTCACTACCCATGTATTTATTCACGTACAACAGTAATTTTCACTTTTTCCATCTCTTCCATGAATACCAAAACCATTTTTATAATGACATTTCTCCACTTCTGTTGGGAGAATAAAGCTTGTGTGAACAATTTTTTCTGCATTTCTGTAGGCCTTGCCTTGGCATGGCTGGGTGCAGACAGTAAAAACTGCTGTGTAGTTAACATGGCTTCAGCCTCTGAAGCTAGAACAAAGGAGGATCAGTGCCAAGGTTAAGGAGGAGTCTTGAAAGGTAAACGTGTGCCCTCAGCTCATATGGACACCTGTTATAGTCCAATTAGCACTGGACAACAGAGTATGTTTCTTTTATGTATCCAATACTGTAGAAGAGGTGATCACCCGTAGGGGTGTAGTAACAGTATATAACGAGTATCCTTTTGTAATAAAGCGGACATTTTGTCGATCATATTGGTCTGTGAGCAATCTGTTCCAAGCCCCTCCGCTGACACACTTCACGTTTGTGTTCAGGGCTAAACATTGCTTACACTTAGCCTTAATGGCAGATTTCTGGTGACCATTAAATCTCCTCATTTTAAGTCCACAGTTATGCAATATTCCCTCCACTTACAGACTCCTGCTGTTACAGTGGGAGTCTCTGCACTGGCTCAGTAAATGCTGCTTTCCAACAGCATCAAAATAAAACAATTTTTTTTCAGTTCATGTTTGAAATTTTATCAGCACACAGTTAAAGATGTTTATTTAGACAGTGGTCTTACATTTTATGCATTGAATACTTCTCCTAGTATGTTGGTATGACATCTTTCTGCAACAACAGCAAGATATTTTGATTCAAAGTGTGTGGGGGTGATCAGCCTAGGAGACAAGCACTCTCACAGAACAATAGGTAAGACAGTTACCATCTAATGAGACTGAAAAAGGTGGAATTGCTTCTGTTAATGCAAGTTTGCCATTCATGGGCAATTTACAATGCAAGTTATCCGAAACAGAGACATGAACAGAAAGCAAGCCTAAAATCTTCATGGCTTACACTGTAATACCAGCAACACTCAGAGAGAGACTGCAAATTAAGCCTCAGCCTTTCCAGGAGTTTCATCATAACATTAGAAAAGCTTACCAGCAGCTTCAAGAGAGCTGTGGCCTACCTAGCAGAGGCAACTGAGGCTGCTCGGTTTTCCATCTGCAGAAGACCAAGATGAATGCTTGTCACATCTGTACTTCACACTCTGCTTAAGAAATACAGTTCTGTGTTTGCAGTGTTTTGGGCACTACTGTTTTCCAAAGTCTGAAAATAGCTCAGCCTTCACCAAAGGCATTTTATTAACTTGTACTTTGCTAAAGAGGCGTATTTTTGGCCACAGTGCTTCCTAGAGGGTACAGTATAGAGCACAGAACCAGTACAGCCTCTCGGCCTTATTGGACAACAGAACAGTTACATGGTAAGATAGGAAGAGAAATTAGGAACAGGTTGTGTTATGGAGTACTATGGCTAAAAAGAGAATGTTAAGAGCATGTGGGTTTGAAGTAAATTTTTTGTACATGTATTACACATTAAACAAAGACATGGGCAACGGTTTCAAATAAAATGATTTTATTTTCATTTTTCCAAATAGCACTGAATATTCTGGTGACCTTTGGACCTAAAATAATCCCCATACACATATAGCTGTTTGTGTATTGAAAACCAGTACAGACTGTCCTGTGTTATTTTCGAAAGAAAGAACTGTTACAACTTTTTCCCACAGATATTACAATCTTTACTTAAAGTAACTCCCAGTTACTGTTTTATCATGCAGTCATTACCTTGTCTTATAGTAACACACCACTAATTATTTATTAATATATTGTTGACTTGAGACTGCAAGGTTTTTAGATAACGAGACAATATAGCAGACTCAGTGGTTGTAAAGACCTGTGTATTTTGGTAATCTGTCCAAAAGGCATTCAAATCACTAAGAACTAAAATACCAACCAGACAAATTATCATTATTTGGTCTGTTAACTTTTTTCAAATGTTGTAAATATACAGCAGCGTAACAAAAAGTTCCATTTAAGTCGTACATCCAAAAGCAGCAAGTGACTAGTAAGTTCCCAGAAAAGTTGCAAAGTTTGTCCATTCCAGATAGGATTGTGCTCAAATAACTGTGAAACCATTACTTTCATCCTGTACAGAAGGGCTCTTGTTACTTGCTGAATTTATTTTCCTGTTTGGACAGGAAATCATCTAGCTAATTGTGATTTTATTTAAACCGTTTCTCATCAAAGTAATCTTTCAAAAGCTAAGGTGATCTTCCAAAAGCTTTAGTTTTATAAGTTTATGGTCCTTACAGTTTCCAAGACTTCATCATAGAACCAGGTTTCAGTAAACGTACTAGAATTTTGTAAAGCCTCAAAAAGACGCCTGTAGTCTTCTGGATACAAGTCACGCATTGCAGCATTTTCTGGAATTTCTAGCGCTTTCAGTAATTTGCCACCATTGTCCAAGCTCCATGAACTGAAACAAACAAACAAAGTCTTAATGGAGCATTCCTTTCTGTGAAAAATTAAAAAGCAAGAAACATTATCTGAAGGTCCATTTCACTCTTTCACAACTTCTAGAAGTTAACCTCTTCCTACAACATAAGTTATTTTCAATTCATACTGCAAACAGGAAGAAACATCTGCTAATAAGACACATAAATACCAAATAAAGCCCCCAGCAGACACAGACAATACCAAACCACGTAAGTCTCTTCATTACAGGGTGGGTGGCCTCCTCATTGCAGAATAGGCGCCTGCCCTCCCTCCCTCATCCACCTGAAATGCGTAAGTCAGTAACAGGCATTACAGCATAAAAAGGGGTTATTCTTCAGTGCCTGGGAAATTAAAGCCAAGGTAATCCTCAAGAAGATGACTCAGTATAGCATGAATTAGTGACTTACACCTCCCAGGTATTTTCTTCTATATATAAACAGATGTATCCACTCTCTCTCCATCTACATCATTGCTATGTATGCAAGCTAGACCTTTATAAATGTGCACATACATTAAACTATTTCCCAGACAGGAAAAGGGTGTATAAATACACAGAAGATTCACATTAGAAGCCTTCAACTTCCTGGCTGAAGGACTGAGTTGAAATGAGGGACACCACTGAGCTTTAAGAGAGAAATCCATTAAGGCTCTTTGCACTTTCTTTGCTAAGAGAGTTACTGGAATTTAGTAGTTTTTTCTTCTTTCCTCTTTCTGGAAATTAACTTTCATAAGCTATTATCAGCAAGTATTATTTTCATCAGCAAGTAGAAGTCAATGCTTTCCAGACTGTAAACACCTTCCATTTTTGGGAAATGGAAATCTACTGATCATAAAACAAACATGAATAGCTCTAATGTAATACCAAAAAAAATAATTACAGTTTCATAATTAGTAAATAAATCTAAAGCCTAATTTTTGAATTAGATAACAGCCATTTGAGGACATCCCCATTCCACCTTCAATAACCTTCAGGTGTTTTCATTAGCATGACTTTGATGTGTTATAAACTGAAACTTTTTCAGCTTTTAATTTCTATTAAAAAGACTTTCTGCAAAAGTCTTGGCGGCTTTATTATTATGTCTGTCAAGTAAGTGAAAACTTCTTGCAGATACACGACCTCACCTCCATTGGAGGTACAGAGAATTACTGCACATATACATCCCAAATCTTCGTTCGCGAAGCCTAGCCATGATGATGACATTCTAAATACTTGTCGACCTTTCTGTCAAACCTCAAGTTTTTATTATCTGTAAATATGGGCCAGGAACAGTCCCCAAAATACTGTATTGGGGGCTGCACAAATGAAATCTTCTATTCTACATGTAGATAAATAATTTTAAAAAAGCACAGTATTTCATCTGCAAATAAATACCTTTTTGAGAACATAAGTTAATATTTTCCTATATTTCTGTGAAAAAAGTATAAAAACTGTAATTCTTTCTTACTTACTTTAGTCTATCACTAAGTCTAGACGTAGGTTTAGCAAGACACTGTTTCACCATGAAAATAAAGGTAGTTGCATTTGTGGGCTTCAAGCCTCCTGTAAATAGATTTTGCTGGGGAGTCAGTCGTACCAAACATAAATGGTCATTTGGCAGCCACTGCAAGAAAAACAAAATAAATCACTGAAAAGATGATAGACAGTGTCTATCTTTAGCTAAGCATTTCATTTTCACCACCACTAACATTTCCTATTAGAAGTCTTAACTTGATGATTTCATTGGAAGATCAGGCTTTACCTCAGCCGTGCCCCAAACAGGAAAGGAAATAGAAAACAAAAAAACGTACTATCATTTAGGTTTGTTTTTACATTTTAAGACTGAACTTTCTTAGTTGAAATAGATAATACAGGCTTGATGTGAGCTTTCAAGCTATTACATGGCCTACAGTATTCCTATACTATGCAAGGCATCAGATCACTTCAACTACCTGCCTTCTGTATATAAAGATGGAATTGAGTGTAACACTAAGACAATATTACAACTCGAAAATTTTATGAAATTGGGATGGAGTCTTTAACTGAAATTAATCTACTTCTGTATTAGCAGCAATGGATATATTGTCCAATAGATCTCACATTTGTACTTCTCCTAAAGCTATCACAATACATCTTGCATAATCCACCTGATATGCCTCTCTACACAGTTTTTCAGCAACACAGCTAAGCACATAAGGCACACCCAGTCACTTACATTCACTTATGTCTTAAAGAAACATTGCAAACAACACTCAAACCATAGCAGTTTTCTGGGGAGGGTAAAACTAAATATTAAGTAAACATACTTTTATATTATCAGAATTAAATAGGGATAGTCTTCTTTTACACAAAGGAACATCATTACTTCTTTAAAAGAGAAAGGTAAACAAGTTTACACAAGGTATTTTTGCACTTCTCAAATTTAAGCTTTGAGACTCATGCTTTTCAGCAATTAGCTATCACATGAAATCTATAATGGAGATATGAGTTACCATTTTACTCAAAACCAGCAGGATACTGATTGTGTTATTAACTGTGGTAACATTTGTTTTGTTTAACAAGTAGATGTTTCTCTGTCAGTAACTTTTTCTGAAAAATACCTCTTAACATTCCTTTATGCTATTTATTCACCATATTTTTTCCATCATAGACACTAAGGATAATAGTTTATTTCAGTTTCTAAGTGCATAGCAATTCTTCACTCACTTTTTGATGAATCTACATGCTGCTTGTAAATTTTAATTAGAACACTTCTTAAAAAATACATTTATAAATGTTGCTATAAAGTTATTTTAACCTTTAATAAAAAGTGGTTTAACTACATCTTTAAAAGAAGAAAAGTGTACACTACAATCTTACCTTAGATTTTGGTATTGCCAGGCTCCCATTTTTCAAATCAGTTGCAAATGATGACCAAGGCTCCTATGGGAGGAAGCAAATATATTACAGAATTAAAGCATTTTGTTATAATAGAATAGACTATTTCAGTTGGCAGGGACCTACAACAATCGTCTAGTCCAACTGCCTGAGCAATTCAGGGCTGACAAAGTTAAAGCATGTTGTTAAGGGCACTGTCCAAATATCTCTTGGGGCGTCGACCACCTCTCTAGGAAGCCTGTTCCAGTATTTGACCACCCTCTTGGTAAAGAAATGCTTCCTACTGTCCAGTCTAAACCTCCCCTGGCACAGCTTTGAACCATTCCAATGTGTCCTATCACTGGATACTAGGGAAAAGAGCTCAGTATCTCCCTTTAGCCTCCCTCTCCTCAGGAAATTGTAGAGAGTAATGAGGTCACCCCTCCTCAGCTTCCTTTGTTCCAAAAAGGCCAAGCCCAAAGGCCTCAGCTGCTCCTCATATAACACTCCTTCCAGCCCTTTCACTGGTTTTGTTGCCATCCTCTGGATGCATTCAGGGATCTTCACAACCTTCTTAAGTTGTGGGACCTAGAACTGCCCAAATATTCAAGGTAAGGCTGCACCAACTCTAAATTCAGTGGAACAATTACTGACCAGCAGATGATGCCATGTTTGATGCACCCCAGGATGCAGCTTGCCCTACTGGCTGCCAGGGAACACACTGATGACTCGTACTGAACTGCTGCCAACCAGCACCCTCAAGTTCCTTTCTGCAGGGCTGCTCTCCAGCCACCTATCTCCCAATTACTACTTGTACTCGGTGTTACTCTGTGCTAGGTGCAGGATTCAGCATTTTTACTTGTTTCATTTCATCCTGTTAATCATTGCCCAATGCTTCGATCTGCTTAGACCGCTCTGCAAGGCAACTTGTCCCTCAAGAGAGTAAACAGCACCTCCCAGTGTGGTGTCATCAGGAAATCTGCTAATGGTTCATTCAACTCCTGCATCCAGATTGTTGGCAAATATATTGAACAATATATTGGCTCTCAAATTGAACCAGTGGTCAGCCAGGTGTAGCCCCATTCAGTGCATCCCTCTGAGCTCTGCCCTTCAGCCAGTTCATCACCCAGCACACCATGAACTCTCTCATCCTACAGCTGGACAACTTCTCCAGAAAGATGCTGTGAGGGGCAGTGTCAAAAGCCTCACTGAAATCCAGAAAAAGGACACCCACCACCTCTTCATCCACTGGGCAGGTGACCTTATCATAGAAGGGTGTCAAATGAGTTAAACAGGACTTTCCTTTGTGAACCCATGTTGACTGTGCCTGATGATTGCATTATTTTTCAAATGCCTATCAATTGTACCCAGTAGAATCTTCTGCACAATTTTTCCAGGTACTGAGGTTAGATTGACAGGTCTGTAGTTCACTGGCTCTTCCCTCACACTCTTTTTGTAGATTGGAATAACACTGGCCAGCTGCCAGTCAGCAGGAACCTCCCTAGACTCCCAAGACCTTTGGTAGCTAACTGAGAGAGGTCCTGCCATAGTTTCCACTTGCTCCTCAGTAGTCTGGATTGAATCCCATCAGGCCCCATGGACTTGTGAACATTCAGCTGATACAGCTGGTCCCTTACAATTTCAGTGTCCACAAATGGAAAGTCACTGTTCCCACACCCGTGGTCCTCCAGCTCAGGAGACCAGGCAGTCCAAGGTGTATCAGTATTACTAAAGACTGAGGCAAAAAACACATTAAATGCCTCCACTTCATCCCTGTTAGTCAGATGACCATCTTCAAAGAGTATCATTCTTCAACTCCTTAATATATACCCCATGATATAAGGTATTTGGAAGACGATAGATAATGAAACTTAATTTTAGATGAGAAAAACACTTAAAACTATGAAGGTAGGTTCCTAGAAAAACAGAGGACAAAGAAAGGTAAATCTGAAAAGCATAAACTAAGTGAAAGTTGATGGCCATGTGTTCATGTGGAGGTGGGGGAAAAACATAAACAATTTTTAAAACTAAATCATATTATGTTTGACAAGGTAAGGTAAGTACTGACTAGCAGGAGAAGCAGGTATGCTTGGAACATGAAAGCACCAGGACTCCAAAAAAAAATTTCTACTGAATACAGCTTAGGAAGTCCAAAGCATATTGGATGGCAAAATTCAGAGGACAGTGGCTTGCAATAAGAATACTGACATCATAGTGAATCACGATGCTGCTTAATGGAGAGTTTTACACAAAACATGAGTGTTTCAGCTTTTTACATCAATACTTTCTACAAAAGTTTTCAACAGTTCTCCAACTAATTTAAACATTAAATTAGCTTCCAATTAGTTTAGGATAGTAAACCACTATAAACCCTTTTCTAAAATCACGTCCATGGCATTAGGCCATATCAGCTGGTACAAAACACTTACCTTGTGCAGTAGTTCAATTTCACATCCTATTTGCGCAAGTACAGTAAGTGGTTGATAAGCCCATGTTTCCCCAGGCTTTGCTCTTAATACCTAAAAAATGGCAGAGAAAGAGTTTTTTGTTGCAAAAACTAAGACTGTTTCTTTATCTAAGCAAAATCCTCATTCAAATATATATAAATACAAGTAGTAAGAAACTCAGTTAAGTCAAAGAAATTCAGTTAAGTCTAAAATTCCAAAGTAGAGTTCCATTAGGCCTCAAATACATACTTTGTGATATTTTAGTACATCTTATCAGAAGACGCGACAAGAAGACATTATAACAGGCTAAGTATTTCTTCACAGCAGTTATTTGGATAACTGAACTGTGTATCAATCTCCAGCACATAGTTTCTGGTCCCTTTTAAGGCAGAGAAGTTTCACACAGAAGAGAAGCAGGGATCATATTACATATAAAAACTGTAACTTTGTCAGTGTTATCAGCTTGCACTGACGAAGAAGACATTCCCAATTCCCAAGATGACATGCAAGCAGAGTAAAACATCAGGTGACCTCACTGAACATTAAGCAACTTGCTCAGTCATCATCCTGATCAATATTACAGATCAAACAACTCTCAGGACAAGAAACAAAGAAAAGCTTGTGATTATTCTCAAACAGGGCCAGGAAAGAAGTAGATTGTAGCAAGGAGATTTAACTTGTCATAATAGATTTACACAGCCTTGTCATATAATAAGAAACCAAACCAAAACAACCAACAAAAAGGAACCAACAATGCCCACTAAAAGATGGTTCCAATAGCTTTTACTACACAACTCGCATTTAACAGGGTTCACAATAAAGCCATAAAACTTAATTAAAAGAAAAAAAACAACACAGCGACTGCATAAAAAGAATGAGCTGCCCTGTATTTACTCAAAAATCTGGCCATTAAAAACATGCCATGCAAGTTGGTATTTCAGTGGTGTCCAACTTGTCATTTCACAGAATATACTTAAGACTTTTAATTTTTTTTCAGTGAGGTGTTAGACACAGCACAGGTTGTGTAAGCAGACCTCAAAAGCTTACAAGTAATTAAAGGTTTATGGCTCTGTATGAGCATCCCAGTTTCTCGGGAAAAAAGGTATCCTTGAAGTATAAGTACAGTTCTAGAGCTTCCAGACAGCGTAAATTAGGAACATTAGAAAACCCAGAAAGCAGCTCTGTGCCTTACTGTACAGAATATTAATAAAAAGGTGTGTAAATCATTACATTTTGGCTCAGTTCTTTTCAGTACTGCATACAAAAGCAACTCAACAGGATGAGTGCATCTCACTGATTATGGTATTTAGTAACTTGGAATCCTCTACCCGAATCCTTTTCACTTGCATTTTGAATTCAGTCTTCGTTGACTGTTACATGCAACTAGTAAACAATTTCGTTGCAAAAGCGTGTTACAGAATTTAAGCACCTCACAATTTACAATGGAAAGCAGCTAGTCTGCTGCTGCATATTCTTCTCAAGGACCAGTCTTCACATTTGTAAGATTTGTGGTTATATGACAAGAGAATGTTTCTTGATAGTGCTATCACTGCATAAAGAGAACAAGTGGGAAACAGACAAGACTTAAAAATTCTGGTAGAAAAAAATTCACTAGCAAAAACATTAAGCATACAATATAAAAGGGTTTGTGTTCTGTGAAGCACTACATCTTCATTACCTGTAAAATACCTCACACATACCATGTATTCTTTTTCACTTATAAAGAGGTTGAGTTCTACTCTTCCGTATTTGTATATGGAATTGCATTCATATAGGCCAAAAAGAAGCCTCCAAAGTCTGTTTCTTTCCAATGTGTGTGGCATGATTCCAAAAATTCTCAGAGGTACATCTGTTTCAATAACATGTAAAGGTATTTTTAAAATTCTGCAATACATATTAGACAATCTCATTAATTCTATTGTCTAAACTACAAATAATTAAGAGAAGAAAGTCTGTGACCTCATGTTGTTCAAGAATGAATACAATTCAAGCCTTAGTCAAAGTTAAGCCCAGTTTAGTTTGTGTTAGACTAAACCTTTAACAGACAAGAAAATACTTGATATCCCATATTGCCATATGGGGTATTTTTTGAAGCTATCATGAGTCTAAGTAAAGCTGAAATGTAGAAAACAGTACCCATTAATTGAGCACATATATTAAACAGAACATATACCTCAAGCAAATCCCAAAGATTTTGCCAAACTGCCTATGCACCCTTCAAATGTATTTGTAACATGTGTGATCATATAAATATACCTGCCCTCCAAGGAACTGCTGCTACACCCATGGTTTCAAAAAGCTTCTCAGAGCACACGGCAGGTGGTTTCAGTGTTCCAGTCACCAAAGGATCCAGTCTGCAGAAGTCACCATAAATGACCTTTAATTGTCCATCCAGGCTATTCTCTAGGGACTGAATAAAATCAGCTTCAGTTGAAGAAATCTGGATATAGTAACTGGTCTCACGAAACATCCCACCCAAACAAAAAATATGTTCAAGCATTACTTAAAATTGTTACCCAGTCAACAAGAGTCAAATCTCAGAGCTGCTGCTTACAGCTGATAAAAAGAATTGCCTCCTTCATTGTGCTGGGCATTTTGACATTTTTTTGTGCTGTGCAACTTGAGTGCCATTAAAACAATTCTTAAATTACTATGATGTTCTGCAATGTTTTTCCTTAAGAAAATCCTAAACTATACTTAACTAAACAAACAACTTCATTTAATGATTTACAACTAGAATTCTTCATATATGCAGAGAGAATGCCTTTTATACACATTTTAAGTCAGAGGGTGAGTTGTTGGTTCCAAACCAGCACTATAACACCATCCTTCTAATACAGCTTCTGCAGCTCAGTGTCTGACCCCCTTCGAATCCATGAAAAGCCCAGGTGAGCAGGAGAGGACAACACGTGTCTTAATATGTAAGTGTCAGTTACAGGAAAACACATTAAATAACACTGCGAGATAAGCAGAATAACTAAGAGTATTTTTACAGATTTCTTAAAGCTACATATGGACCTCTTATTTAAACATACACAAATACAATGATTAATATTACTTTCAAATTTATGCATGAAACTATTCATAGAAAGACTATGTATGAACTTGAATTCCTGCATACACAAAACGTCAAATCAACTAATCAAAAAATATTCTACATACGCAATGTATAATACCAAACAATATTTACTGTTATTAGCCATTATGTCAGATGTTACAAGTAACAATTACTGTCTAATTCCTTTTTGATCCAACAGCTATTACAATTTGTAAGTTAATTTCTTATTTTCCCTTTAATTAGGTTTTAGAAATATGCAACTGAATCAAAAGTGTACCTGTAAGTTTGGAAGATAAGCTAAGTTACTTTCCAGAGCTACCACTCTAATACCTGCATTGAGCAGAGTTTGAGTCAAGATTCCAGGACCTGAAGTGGGAAAATAAAAAAAAAAAAAATAAAAATTTTAAAAAGTGCATTTCTATTTCTAAATAATGTCCTTTAGTGATTTTCTCAACACAACGCTTGGGACATTTCACCTTCAATACGGGAGAGCTTGTATTTGTTTAAACACACTTGAAAACAAGAGTTAGAAAAACCATTTACAGGCAGTGTGCCTGAGATTGCTCATTGAATTACACTAAGCACGCCATTACAATGAGATACTTAGGAACACTGGAGATAACGTTTCTTCTGCCAACTGAAATATACTTTGAAATCGTACCCACATTATCTCTACAGATAAAATAACACTCTGCAGAAATAAAAAAACAACCACAGACATTAAGTAACTGCAAAGGGCTACCTGCAAAGGGCTTGGGTGTGCTTTTACTGACAAAGTCCACTTACAAAACCACAATATTACCAGAGAGACACTTACATCTCTGCTTACTCTATAGCACAGTTTGAACAGCAGTGACCCGCTGGGACAACTCCTTGTACGGATCCTGTCCCGGGCAGCGCCCTAACGCCAAGGAAGCCGCCACCCCCGCCCGAAATCACGGGAGAAGCCAGGCCCCGTGTCCTTCCCTGAGCACCACCATCCCTTCGGAGGGCTGGTACCGCCGGCGGCGAGGGCGGCAGCCCGCCCTGACCCCGCAAGGTCACTGTGGCGCCGAGCAGCGCCGCACCCCGGCGGAGCCCCCCGCCGGGAGCACGGCCGGAGCCCCGGAATAGCTCACCGGGCGCGAACTCGAGCAGGAGGGGCTGGGGGCCGGCCCCTCGCTGCAGGCATTGCTGCACGGTGCGCGCCAGCCGCGGGCAGGCGATGTAGCGGCGCACCGGCACGCCGCCACGCTTCTCCCGCTGCACCACCTGCGCCTCCTCCGTCGCCGCCTCCGCTACCCGCAGGCCCCGGCACTGCCGCCCCGCCACCCAGCACGGCGACAGCCCGCACAGCAGCGGCCGCAGCGCCGCTGCCAGGAGGCGGCCGCAGCCCGCGGCGCCCGGCGGGGCCTGTCCCGCCAGCATTGCCCGCCGCCCGCGCCGCGCCGCCAGCACCAGGTGCGCGATCGCCGCGGCAACCGGAGCGTCACTTCCTCCGCTGCCCGGCCTCGCCAGCGCGCTTCCGCCCCGCCGGCGAGAGCTCTCCTCCCTCCTTCCCTCCCTCCCTGTTTATGGTGCCCGCCCCGCACCGCCGCCAGCCTGCGGCACCGCGGCGACACCAGCTCCCGCGCCTCCACGCCATGCCGGGCGGCGGGTCCCGGCCGCCCGAGCCGCCGCGGAGCTGAGGTGAGCTGACGGCGGCTCGTCCGCAGGAGGGGAAGGGGAGATGCTTCCCCCGGTGCCGCGCGCTGCCGCCGCCTCCTGCTCGTCCCGGCGCCGCCGGGAGCTCCAGGGTCGGGCCAGGGCCACCGGGCGGGCAGCGGGAAGGTGCCGGTCCCGGTGCCGGTCCCGGTGGGGCTGAGCGCCCTGCCCGCCCGAGCCGGCATGGGCGGGCGCCGGCGCTGCGGCTCCTTCCCCGGCGCGGTGTCCCTGGAGCAGAGCAGGCGGAGGGCTGAGGCGGGTGGCGGTGGCTCGGGAGGGGGAGGCTGGGGCCGGCCAGAAACGCTGTGCCGGTCGCCCCGTGCAGCGATGTGTGCGCTCGGTGTGCGGGTGAAGTCCCAGGAGCTACGTATTTAGTTTGAGGTTTGCCAGGGTGTTTCACGAGAGACTTTGATCTCCGCGTCTTCAGCTAAATAGTCACTTCGGGACTCGGGTGTTTGTATCGCCCTGCCGCCCTCAGCAGGTGCAGGATCCTGCTCTGGCGGAGCTCCGGTATCAGTCCCTGTTGGTTCGTTTCTGCTCGATGCCTTGTTGCAATCGCGCTTTAGGTCAAACCAGTAATTCAATAGCAGGGACGTTGTCCTTTCAGCAATGTCTCTAATGCCCTAACGAGAAATAACTTTTAAGAACATCTTCAAAACGTTATCAAGTTCTGCAAAACTGGAGTTCATCCTTCAGGGATACCTGTGCTAAAACCTGTCAGTGGCAGGTGAGCGACCACAGTGCGATGGTGAAAGGGAGAGAGAATCCTCCCAAACGTGTTTTCCTGCTCCCTGTCTAATTTGTGCAGAAGGCAAGAGAGATCTAGCAATCACACTGTATACTGGTCTTCAAATTAATGGTTCAAAAGTAGACTTTATGTTTGAATTTGTGAAAATTGCCTTATTTCTTATATCTCATTTCTCTGGTTATGAAGTGAGAGATTAACACGTGCTTACTTACCACACAAAGTCATTTTGTTTGACATATCTCTCTTAAACAGAAACTGGGACAGAAAATTGTGGCTTTGTTTTTCTCTTTTTGGCGGATCTGCATGTGGCATGAAGAGGGGTCGGGCTGAATTTAGAAAAGATTGTAAATGCCTTGTCAAATGCACGAGTTCTTCATAACTGAAATTTACATGCTCTGCTTTTTTACTCTGAGTGCTGTAATAGTCTTCCCTGTGCCTTAAGGGAAATGGACAGAGTGTTCAGCTGGATGATGGGATAGACCTCAATCCATTTTTAAACTGGACTTTATGTTTTTAATAGCTTTTTCCCTCTCTTACTAATTAGTCTGATAATTCAGTCATCTGTAGGACTTTTAGAACATCAAGCATAATTTGATTTTCTTAGAGTAAGTGTTTAGTCATGTCCTAATTCAGCATTCCTTATCAGAGTTTATGACAGCTATGGCCACAAAAAAATTAGGTATAGTTTTAAGCTTAATTAATTAATTTTGGAAATTTTTTGTTGCCAGTCAGAGCACTCAGGAGTGCTTTGAATGGAGTATTCAGACTAATTGAGATTATTCAGAGGAGTGTTTTGGAGGAATCAAAGGCAAAATGCCCTAACAATTCTTCATATACTAGAAATGACACACTTTTCCTCATATTTTTATTTATTTTAGCTTAGCAATTGCCTGGATTGAACCACGGATCTCTATAGGCTAAACTTATGTTTTGGATTTTTTTCCGCCTACTAGAACTGCCAGATATATACTGAATCTTGCATGTGTAAAGGACTACCTCTTTATGACCTGGTCATTATCTTTGAAAAACTATTGAAACCCTAGGAAAATGGTAAGTTATGTACATTTTTTGTTTAGAAAATACAATGCAGAAAGTTGTTGAATACGCTAAAGTGTATCACAAGGACATTTGAACAGTTATTTTTATGTTAATGGCTGATTGTGCCATATATTTTCTAGTTTAATCCAGCTATCTGCACATGAAAATATTTGAATTTACAGTCTTACCTCATAGAGCCTTATGTCTTTGTAATTTACATTCATTGTTGGGTGTGCTGAAATTATTGTTTCCTCCTAATTATTGTTTTCTGAAATAAATCAGAGGTAATCAAAAGGGCTACCTGTTTGTTTGGATTCCAGTCTATGCTTGCACCAAAAGAGCTCCTTAGTTGTATGGGTCAAAAAGATAGTAAGGAGATATTTTTCTTTTCAGTGGTTCTAAATACTTCTTGCATTTACTTTTATTTGGCTCAATTTAAATCTTATTTTTCAAGTTAATATTAAAGCACTAGTCTTTTAGTATTATTTTGCTATGTATTAACCACTTAGCCATAGCAAATATTTACAAATAGTAAAAAGAGTGGTAGGAGATTTCTTCAAAAGTGCTGTAAACACTGCACACTCAGGAAAATAGTCTCTATAAATAATTATTTTTTAAAAATCAATCAGAGAGTATATTCACTTTTTTGCCATATTTTCTTGTCATCACTGTCCTCCACTCCAAACCCATACATACACAAAGGAAATCTCCCAAGAACTGAAGTAGCATTTAATCCTACGCCTCAATCCTGCACCTGGTTTGAGATCGAGTGAATTTGCAACCTGTGGGTTATATTGGACATCTTCCTTTGAAGTGAAAGTCAGTCTTTATAATGAGGTCAGCAATTTTGTATTTAGAGCCATTATGGACTATAAACCTTAACTTATTGCTTTCCTACATGTCATCTGTTGACAACTAAAAATGGCTTGATGCTTGGATGCGGACAGGGGCCAGGGAGTGGGGGGAGGCTTTTTGCTGTTTGGCCAAGCTATTAGTAGTAAGGGAAATAAGAATCCAAGGTTCCTTGGAAGCCTGCCTGCTCCATGTGACAGTGTAGCTTCCAGCCTAACGCTGAAAACCTGATTAATAGGGAGTTACTGTCCATTACAAGTCAGTTAGATCAATTGTGCAGATCACTGGAGAGTGAGGGCCTGGGTGCCAATTAAGTGAAACAATCAAGTTAGTTCTCCTTTGAGATAATTTCTGAGCGCTAGGTGTATGGTCATGTATGTTAATGTAAGGTTATTTGAAAAAAAGTTAAACCACTCCTCCTTTGCTATTTTTCGCATGTAATAACATGCTGTTTAGTAGGAAAGCATTTTCATACCAGGTGCAGATTGACTTTGCAGCCTTACAAACACTGCAGCAAAGTTCAGAGCTGACAAAAGAGCCATTCAGCACAAAAATAAACATTTTTAAATGAGCAGATGCCTTGAATTCTGTCCCTACCAATGCTAAAAACACTCTCCATGTTTTATTCCCTTATAATGAACACTAAGCAGCAATATTTTTGACATTTTCAGCAGAGAGGCAAAGGGTTCTGTAGTGTGAAGATGGTTGCATAAGCTGTGTATTGTAAGGCATTTTGGCAGGGGTACAAACTTTCTCACTCTGTGCTTTATCTGTTCTGTGTATACAGAGAAATTCAGTCCCTAGGGCTATCAATCTGGCATCTTTCATCAGCACTAAATTTACTGCAAATGCTTTTTGTGTGCAAGCAGAAAAAAAGTCCCATTAAACCTTTGCAGACAGGAGCGAAAACATTCAAATAGGTGCTTTATCTGTTTCTTTCTCCCAGAATTCCTCTTCATTTAATTCTGATGAGCATATTCTGCTGACTCAATTCACTCAGCACGTTTTTGTCATAAGTCTTTATTCTGAAGGTTTTTGCAGTGTTACCTTGCTCAAGAGCTTGACATGCTAAAGATTTTCATAGTATTTTTTACTTATTAATCTACTTGCAGTATAACTGTGGTGTCTTTGAAAATGTCTGGCTAACTGATAAGGACAGGGTAGAGGTTTTAGTGATGTTAGTGTCAAATATTTCTGTAGACAAATTTTAGCGTGCTGTGTGCTTGCTTTTCAGGAACAGAGTTGCTTAGGAGTGTGAAGTTTTTTGTACTGTTCCACCTCTCCCAACTGAATTGCTAATGTGTGGCCTTAGAATGTGAGCTTTAGCACTGCTTTTCTCTGTCTGTGTGATTAATTTAATTTTCTTGTTGTATGTTGTTTGGAACATTAATATTACACTGCAGAGCAAATTCAGATTAGTTCAAAATAACTTTGTTTTTAAAAAAGAAAAGAATCCAGACTTAATTTTAGTATTTGTTTTATCTTTGTTATATGAGCATGTTAGGAAGATTTTTAGGTTTACTTGGTGAATATGGCATTGAAATCACATGGACATTCATAATATCCATTGGAAGTGCTTTTCTAATGGTTTAAACTTGGAATTTTGTGTGCTTTTAGGCTGAAAGGGAGGGCATGATGGTCTTTATCACGTTAGACCAACATTTCAGCTGGACCTACATCACAGTCCAGGTGCTTTTCATTCTGTTGTTACAGTGTTACAGTTGACTAATGGCAAAATAAACAAACTGGGGTGCATCTGTCCTGAACTTACAAGTTTGTAAATTGTTTGGTAATAGTTTGGCACCTTCCTTGGCTCAGATTCATGTGTTTATAAAATGAAGCAACATGCACAGTGCAGAGCTTACACATTTGGTCCCAGGGAATTTTATGATAGTTGGCATATAAAATTACCCTTTATCCAATATTGTTTTGGTAGCTGCTTAGTTTCTTATCTGGATTTCTCTTTTTTCTCATGGAAGATTGTTAAAATCTACTATTTTAACACTGAAATATGACATCATTAACACAAGGAGAAATAATAATCACTCAATGTCTCTATAGGCTGTAAAACTCCTGTCATGATGTCATTGAAACTATCTTACTTTGGGTTTCAATTGAAAATAGTTTTTACCATCTTACAGTACTAATGCTAGGTTTTGTTAATGTTTGTGGTATTTGGGATTTTGTAATGAAAAGTTTTTTAAGGGAAACTACTTAAAGTGGCCTTGATAATAGGAGTTTTCTGAAAAACTGATCTAAACCAAATTAGATCTCTGTTTACAGGCTCAGGTATTGCAAGCATACATTCAGATTCTGAAAGAGAAACTGATAACCATCTGCTTCAGAAAACCTCTCCACAATCTATTAATCAAAAGTATGTGTAAATTGTGAGAGACAGCTCATATAGTCCAGCATTTATTTACACAATTAGAGCTGAAATGAATTTACCTTAATAACTTCCTGTTGGAAAGCAGAGAGTTGAAACAGCACTTCAGGCTAAATTCACCACTGGGTTTAAGTTGTTTCAGCTTCATTAACTTCAATCAACTTACAGCAGTGATTAATTTTTGGGGGGGTTGTGATTTGCTTAACATAGGTCTCTTCCGGTTTATATGTGGTTGAGTTCTCGCTCATCCATTCAAGGGCAAAAAAAAAAAAAAAAAGTCGGTGTGACTGACTTCATGGAGGAGGTTCAGAGCAAAGAAGGGATTTGATCTTGGTCATTCGTATCTGGCACTGAATAATGTAGAAATTAGACAATCCTTCCCTTCAGAAATATAAAACAGACTGATGCAAGATTTTGGAAGAGCTCCTGGATATTCTGATTTTCTAATGGTGACAATTATTGAAGCTCCAGCAATTAGCTCTGTTCTTAACCTTCTGGCTGGACCTGCAGGCTTGATAACAAAGGGACTGCAGGTATGTAATACTTATGGACAGGAGTAATTTATAATATTTAATAACTTTTATGGATAGCTTTCCATTTTATTTGTGATTGCTTCTGGCCTTGATGTGATTTAGGACCTCACTGAATATTTTGACAATGCTAGTTTTCTTTGTATTGTTGGGGGCTACAAAACTTACTCATCCCTCATCAATACGTAAAAATTACGGAATTCAATGTCATTATGAAATTCAAGTGTCAGAAAGTCTTTAACACTTATTTCTTCAGTGGGACAGCTTTTAGATAACTGCCTCATTCTTCTTGCATCTCCATTTCAAGGGACTCTGTTCTGTCATCTCTGCCTTTTCATATATGTTTAAAGTTTTTTCATGAGATCATGAGAGATTTTATATCATTGTATGTTTTTTAGCAACCTCTTACGGAGGTGGTAGGATCTGTCAGCTTTCTCAGGTCCTTGTAAAGATAAAAGTGAGTTGAGCTGATTAGTTCTCACAAATATAGTCTGTGTGGATTTGCAGGACTTTTTAATTTTTTTTTCCTGTAAGAAAAATTGTACCTATCCTAGAAAACATGCATAAATTTGTCTTGTAGGAAGTCTTTAATTTTTGTTATGCTTTGTAATCAAACTTGTGCACATGTTCTGTAGCGTGACAAAAATCTGGGCATTCTTCAATTAGAAGGAAAATACAGAAATCAAAAACAGGCAAATAGCTACTTCTCATAAGACTTAAAAGGAGATTCATGCATCCCAAGGCAAGACCAGTTACTCATAGGTTATTCCTGACCAATGTTTGCCTAAACTTTTATAAAATAGCTGCGGGGATGAGAGTTCTCCATTCTCCTAAAGCAGTCTATTCTACTGCTTTTCTACCCCTGCCCAAGGTACATTCTAGTGTTTTATTGCAGACAAAAACAAAAAATGAACACATTGAATGGTGAGGTCACCTTTTGTTCTTATAACATTCAATGAAGTTTGTTCTAGTGAAGCTTGAAACCCAAAACTTTTCAGGCACTTGGGGGACTGATCACTGTGTGTTTTGAATGCTGACAAAGAGTTTGTTTGTGTGAAATTTTTTATAGAATGCTGTCATATGTTCTACTAAAAGCTGCTATTTCTTCCCAGACAAACCTCTTGTATTTGGCTGCTGACTGAAACATGTTTTTATAGTAATGTTAAATGTGGAATAGTAGATTATGCCTAGCAGTATATGTTTATCATTGTTTATTAAAGCTGTGAATAAGCAGTATGACTAGGA